TCTGCACGGCGAGTTATTCTTGCTGCACAGCAAGTTGGTGGTGCATCTTCATCCTTCCAAAAACAGGGGACAGGTTCCCCGGATAATAGGAGTATAATCACTCAAGCAAGAGTTTGATAAACACTCTGGTGAAGCACTTATCATTACGATTTTTGTTCACTCAACTAACTTGTGAGGAAAGTTATTGAGTTGAGTGACAAACACGTATTTGGTCAACAAAGACATGTTTTGTCACTCAATTCAACCACCTGAGCCAACAGGTGAATAACATTGCTCACAAGTGAGTTGAACGGTCGAAAGTCCTGACACATTTTTCATTCTACAAGCCAAATTTTTCCTTGAAAATTGAAGTAGAGAGAGAGGCAAAAAACCAAGGGGAGGAACCAAGGAATGGGTTCTGATGATGCCTTATCACCTTGTCAACCATCAAACTCTGATCAAGCACTTGTGTCTTTCATGGACCCTTCAGCATCTTACCTATTAGCGGAACTGCAGTCTGTTGCAGACGCGTCGAAAAACCAAAACAAGTTCTTATCAGAATCATTGAAGATCATCTGACAAGACCTGGATTTGGTTTTTTGTTGCGCCACAACAGACTGCATTTCCGGTAATAAATATTACACAGGAAGGTCCATGGATGGATCAAGTCCTTGATCAGTGTTTGATGAACAAAGAGGTGACAAAAGATAAGTAGAACCCATGGATGGTGCCATATGTGGAGTTTGGAGATGCACATGGCAAAGTGATAATGAAAGAGGAAACTGAGGAACAGGGGACTGTGGGGTCAAATAAGACATGGTATATAAGGCAAACAGTTGCAGCGGCCAACTTGTGGTATGTGCACATATGCTTATGGTGGTCACATGAGTCACAAACCCTAACCCTAGCCATACATTCTTCTCAAATTAGTTATACTTGGTGAAAAGACCTGACACATAAGAACCAGTGGTGTGTTCTTGTATAATGACATCATAGATAAAATACGCAGCCTGAATTAATATGAAGTCAATTGGGAAGAAGTGTAGCAATTGCAGTCAGAGCATCATCAAGTTTTGCAGAGCTGGGTGATATCCCCAGGGCCAGTTTTTCAAGGGGGTCATAGTGCTTCAAGAAAGCAATTTCATGACAGTTTTATGGAAGGTTAGCACAGACAGTTCCAAAGGGGTTGACTGTATGGCCTTCTTGACGCCTAGTATCTAATCTGCGGGCGGAATGGATCCTCAGCTTGATAGTGGATTGATCTTGATAGGATAGCCGGTCCACTTCATGTAGCCAGTTGCCATACTTGACGCTATACCATGCTTGACAAATCGACTTCTGGATGGGTCAATGTGGGTCGTCTTCTGTATCAGAACAGCAGTCTGCATCAGGTAGGAGGTCAAGAAATTGCGGAAGATGTTGCTGAAGAGTGGCTTTACGGTATTTCCAGAGCTGAGTAGACATATTATCAGAAACGGACTGGAGAATGCCTAAAGGCATAAACATGACTTACATCTCTTCTCTTGTTGCTCCGTGTCCTTTGTTCAACCTTGGATGGATCTTGAAATCTTCTCTTGATTTCTTCAATCCGCCCAATCACCCAGCGAGTCATGATCCCAACTTGGACAAGGTCCGTAGGGTTGTCTTGATCCAGTCCAAAATTCTCAAAAGCAGAAGCAGCTTTGGCAAACTTCCAATGCCTTACAGTAAAAAAAATCATTGTTTGATTCCATGTACTTTTTTCACCGTTGTCCGCTTCCCATTCAAAGGTGAAAATATCATCTATTTGACGATTGGCCAGGTCTTTGAGCAGCAGAGTCTTGAACAGTGACCAATCAGATTTAACTGAATGGGATGAAGCATTATAGGTGGTGAAGACTGAGGTATCTTGTAAGATCATTTCCATAGTCAGGGTTGGAAGATTCATAAGTTGATCATCGCCAGGTGAATCAGGATAAACTTGGTGTGTTTTGGTGTATCCAAGTATAAATCTTGCAAATTCAGAATATGATTTACAGATTGGCTGGTTATGACCAGGGAGGTGAGCCCTCAGAGCCTTGTTCTTTGCTTTGCGGCTCTTTGGTGGTGCTCCATCCACCCAACCACTTGAGCGTTTATGAGTGGGAGATGCTGAGATTGTAAAGTGGAGTCATGAGTTTGCAGCTTTTGAACCAGAAGAACTGAAGAGGTCCTACCCATTTGAATGTGTGTTGATACACAAGATTACAATTTGTCCTTGTTTGATTTGATGGAGAATGATCTGAGGTGATGTTGATGAAACAAGAGAAAGTGATGGTTAAGAAGGAGGAGGCCAGGAAAGAGGAGTGCAGCCTGAGACACATTTATACCTCTACCCCTACTTTCCTGCCTCTTCCAAAGGCTTCTGCACTTGTTGAGAACATTTCCAAGCCGTGACACTCTCAAAAACATCAAGTGTCAGGCTTCTGACCCCACTTTGTGTCCTTGATGAATCCAGTAGTTCTAGTTCAGATGTGATTCAAATATTGTGCAGCTGGCCTAGGGGACAAGTCAAAACCACTTGGTGCGGTAAGCATGGATGGGCAAGGTCTTGACATACATGAGAATATGTTTCAGTGTTTGACTTTTTTTGACACAAGCACAAGAAAGAAATGATATTTTTACAGGTCTTTTTGTTCAACTTATGATACCGTTTGATTCAAAAACAAAAAATATATATATAAGAATCAATAAAAAAAATGAACAGATTTAAGCCCAATACCCATGTAATGATGCACACATCACTACAAACATACTACATTTAATATAAACATATTCAACTTAGATACTTAACAGGTAGACTTAACAATTGTTCTTTTACTTTCACTCGACGCTCCATGTGCACTGGCTCCTTAGGGAATTTAGAACTGATTCATTCTCTATTACCTTTGGAGTCAGGTGAGCTATCATATTATTCCTTTATCTATTATCTTTCATTCTCTTATCTCTTTATGTACATTCCTTAGGGAATTTAGAACTGATTCATTCTCTATTACCTTTGGAGTCAGGCAATAAATATATCAGTTACTTGGGTTCTAGAATCCTCAAGTCCACTACGTGGCAAAGTGAACCCAATTCCCTCTTCGAGTCCTTTCCTTTAAGTGAGGACAAAGTGTCCTTTACAACCCAATAAACATATGAAACAAGTAAACACTCAATATAAAACAGGATATGATATTTTGTATATATTTTTGTCCAACACCAAAGAAAGAGATGTTTTTTTTCAGCATTTTGCACCTCCTGAGATTTTTCCAATATACAAGTAAAAAAAAGAGAAATATAATTTGATAATGATTGAGATGATTCTATAAAATACCCTTCACAAAACCTTGAAAGAAAATAGATTTTTTTGATAATAATTGATATGATTGAATGAATATCCTTTGGAAATTCCTATGATGCAACTGCCATGGCGTACTTGTTTCCAACCTTTCTCATCAAATGCTCATTGAGGGTTTGGAGCTCAATGTGCTTCTCAGACAACTCCAGGCCCTCAACTTCCAGCTCCCCAAGTTGATTCAGAAATTCTTCTCTAATTAAGCATTGGGAAATTGCTGTGGTGGGAGTTGGTCTTCCGGATTGACAGCAGCAGGTGAGTATTCAGCCCTGGCTGCCTGAAACTTGGCCGCATTGGTCTTCTGGGCCTTTGTTGAGTCTGGGTTCTTTCTGGCCAATTTTTCCGCAAGGTGAATCAATTGATCCAGCTCTGGCTTTCTCCAAGCTAGCTTGATCCAACGTTGATGTGCCGGCTTTGCTGGGGTTGCAGGGACCGTCTCAGTGTCTGAATGCACTTTGTCCATTACTAGGAGTAGTTGATCGGTGTCCGTGAAGCCTTTGATGTGTTTCGAAATGGCTTGTAAGCGTGATTGAGCAACCTAAGGTTTTCATTGGTCAGTTCTCTCATTACTTTTGTCCTTAAGGCCTTCATAGCTTTCCTGTCCTTAGATTCAACCGCCTTCTTAGCATATTTTTCAGCTCCACCGGGGGTTGCTATGAGTGCCTTGTCTTTTTCCTCCTGACTATATTTGGCACGCTTGCCACTTAGCCACTTGGTGAGGATTTCTTTGGCCGGCTTGGGGGTTTTGTCTGACTGTGGGATATCATAGTAGGCAGGGACTCCTCTGGCATTATAACACTCTAGCCAAGCCCCCAGAAGACAGTTGAGTACAGCCGAGTTCCAAGGAGTGTTGATAGTATTATTCCATTGGAGTGTCAAACGCGGGAATCCGGCAGCGGCCAGGGAAGCTTCTGCTACAGCTAATCTACTTGGTTCATAACTCTGCACAGAAGTAGTGGCAAGAGCAACCCTGGACATGAATCCTTTTTTAGGGGCCCTGTTGGCCCATTCCGCAACTATTTTCTTGAGCTCTGCTTTGTAAGTATTGGATGCTTTAGGGTTGGTGGCAAGCTTCTGGGCCATCTTTTGTTTGATTTCGTACTCTATAAAGTCCTCACGATTCTTGTTGTGGGAATTCCAGGCCTCCACTTCGGTAATTTTGGCTGGTGCTGGCAGGTGGTGCCTGGTGATTTGACTGACATCAACTTGAGAGGAGGAGGGGGAAGTGGACTGGCGGGGGAGGCCCAGTAGTTCCCTGGCCCACTCATGAATAGCTGCAGTGAGGCCTGGCGGAGCTTCAGTTTTGGGTGATTTTCTTAAGCGTCATTCTTCAGCCTTCTGCTGTCTGTCAGCAGCCTTCCTCTGCCCATCCTGCATCCTCTGATACTTGGCTGCAGCTGGTTGCTCAAAAGTCAAGCCTTCATCTTCTGTTTGATGGCCTGAATGAAATAATGAACATGTTATTGACCACCCTCTTGTCAAATATATATAGATAGGTGGGTCAAAAACAAACCATGAAGACAATCCATCAGTGGATCCCTGGGTGCAGGTCCTGCTGGGGCGCCTGCTGGGCAGTGGTAAGATGATCATCATCATCAAGCAGGTGGGAGGGAGGTGATGCATTCAGAAAAAAATGCGCCAAAAGAGAGATGGGACATGGAAATGAAGCAGGGATGATTGTGAGAAATGTCAGATGGAAAAGGTAGAAGTTAAAGTGAACAGAAATACACAAACAATGAGAGCCAAGTCAGATAGGAATGATTGGAGGCAGACAGAGAAAGAATTGAGTTTGGGATTCAATAAGAAAGTAAGGAAAAAAGGACCCATTGAAAGATTTGTATATATATATTTGGACAGTACCAGGGAAGACACAGAGATATGTATATGAAAATGACAAGCCAGAGCAACAGGTGGAAAATCCCAGGTAGTGAGGTCATGACAGCATCCCAAATTTGATTATAAAGATGGGGGACATTTGAGTTCATGAGAAGAATCATGAGAAAGTGGGTACCAGAAATGAGCGTGAGAGAAGAAAATAAGTTTTAAATATACATCAACCACAAGTCAGCCATTGTCATTTGTCAAGTTGGGAAAGATTAGTACTGCTGACCTTCTCCTGAGCTCATGATTGTATGGGTGTACTGGGAATTATATTGATGAATCAGTGGTGGAGGTCTTTTGAAGATGGAAAAATAATTTAAAGAGGATGAAAGTGGCTGGATGAGTCAGCCAAGAGGGCACAGGTTATATATGAGAAACTCCCTTTGTGATTGAAGATGACAAAGGCAGTAGTGCCAGTCAAAGGGAGGCAGCTTACCCACCTCTGTAGTCAAACAAACTGATACTAACTGAAGCTGCATGAGAGATACTGTCAGGGTTGACAATATGATTTAGTGAGAGTCAAATTTGCTTGATTCACATGCCACAACATGAAGATCTGTATGTGCTACATTGATGAATAGGAAATGTAGCACATACAGCCTGTGTCTTGTACAAGCTGGCTTTGTGAATAATCTGCTCCACGTCCGTTGCAGTGAAGGGTGCATGTGTGAGGAATACGCGTCTGTTAGGTGTACTCTTCACTGAGAACGGCGTAGAGAAAGGGAAAACTGGTCTTCAATTGGTACACCCAAGTGAAGACTACAGTTAGTTGACCTCTGAGAAGAGGGTTTAAGGGAATAAAGGGGAAAGAAGGGGCTATTACGCGTAAATACGCTAAAACCTCGTGAGACTGCAAGGGGCAGGCTTTACACTTTGGTAAACCAAAGATCCTGAGGCTACTTTAGACTCCTGATGAGGGAGGAAGCTTTGCTGCTTTATGGTTTATTTCTAGAGACGTTTATGGCCCAGGGCTTGTCAAAATCAGTACCAATGGTGTTCAGCAATGGAACCCGTAATGCTCGAAGATGGTCTTTAAACTACACAACTAATCACGTACTCAAGGATCCTCTTCATAGGATTTCAAGTATAATGTGATTCTGATGTTGTGGTGTGTTCAAAGATGGGGGATGAATCAAGGGAAGAAGGGGGGTTTATATATTCACAGGTCAAGTGTCAACTTGTGGTTGGCGTGTGATTCTTGTCTCACTTGTGGTTGGCGCTTGGGTTAGGTTTGCTACGTATTTAATACATTACGTACATGTGTTTATGTGGCTCTTGACACTGAGCCGTGAGATGTACTTATGGATTTATACAATAATATAATATTACATATGTAACTGTTAGCCCGTGGTCGTGTAATCAGGGCTCAGGGCTGACAGCATGTCACTACTAGACTTAACATAGCTTTCCCAGGAGGCCTCCTGCTGGCCACGGAATGATTGCGCCTGGTCCCGGAGTACTGGTACATACATATTCCGTAGTAATCACGTGACAGAGGTATGCACCAAGCCTCCCACGGGCCTCAACATGATGAATACTACATACACATGTCACGGATATCACGTGATGTAGGTATGCAGGAGGCCTCCTGCTGGCCTCGAATACCTGGGGCTTTGAAGGAACTCGAGACCCCGGGATGACTTACACAATATTACACAATCCTATATACACATGTCACAGGAAACACGTGATGAAGGTATGCAGGAGGCCTCCTGCTGGCCTTGAATACCCGGGGCTTGGCAAGAACTGTAGACCCCGGGATGACTTACACATACACATACTATGCAATCCTACATACACATGTATCAACCTTGATCACGTGATGAAGGTATGCAGGAGGCCTCCTGCTGGCCTCGAATACCCGGGGCTTTGCAGAAACCTGATACCCCGGGATTAATTACACATACACATGCTGCGTAATCCTACATACACAGGTCACGGATATCACGTGATGAAGGTATGCAGGAGGCCTCCTGCTGGCCTCGAATACCCGGGGCCAGCAGGAACCTGAGACCCCGGGATGACTTACACTTACACATATTATGTAATCCTACATACACATGTCACGGATATCACATGATGAAGGTATGCAGGAGGCCTCCTGCTGGCCTCGAATACCCGGGGCCAGCAGGGAACCTGAGACCCCGGGCTCCTCCACATATATACTCATTGCTTGAAACGTGTTTCATCTTCACAAGCATGAATTGAACCATGTCAATCACGTCGATCACTCTCACGCCTCTCAATTGAATTATACACATTCTCACGACTCTCAACTCAACTATACCTCGACCCTCCGGATTGCAATCACTGTCGATCACTTTCACTTTCCACTCCCACGCTTCCAAATTGAACAATGTCGATTAGCCAGTGTGTCTCTATCTAATTGCTGAAAAAACCCAAGCAAGTCTCTAACCAACTCTAATCAGATCATGAGACTCTCAGCTTGATGCTAACCATCATCTCTGGTACGACAGGCTCAAGTTTTTGAGGTACCCTTTGGTATCAATTCCTTTTGGTTCTGTCTTTTATAACCCTTTTGATGTCCGGCCAATCCTTGACTAGCTCTAGCTCCAGCTCTCAACATTCAGATTCCGACGAGGAAAGTTCATCGCTCACAAAGACTACGCCTCAACCTCAATCTAGTGAGTCGGACAGAATAGCTTCAAACATCTTCCCATCTTCACTCTTACCACCTATCTCAAGCTGACATTGTTTCATTCACAGATAATGTATCTTGACATCAAACTCCTGCTTTACAAGACAGCCAAGCAGATAGGCTGAAAGGAGAGGTTTGAGCGTCCAACTG